TATCTTCTAGCAAAGTACATTGCACTTTGATTGTTTTCATAAATGGTCAAAAAGAAACAAAATAGCTTCTTAGCAAAGAGCACTTTCTCAGCAAGAATTTGCTAGGACTGTCTGGGAGTGGTCTGAGTGGGGAGGGGAAAACTGAAAACTAACTTATTGGCAGAGAGGTTTGGAACTCTCTTTCTTATTGATCTATTAACTAATGATCACCAGGGAGGCCAAAACTCCATCCACACCAAAACAAGCGGAAATTTCAGGAGGTCTTTTCAAACAGCCCGTACACTAAAAGGGCATTAGCATCATTTTCACAATTTCACAGTATTATTCCAACCACATAGTGTGGAAATATATATAAAACACAGGAAATCATGTTTTTGACTGCACTGGCCCTTTAAGTAAGCGCAACAAGGTGCATTGGCCAATTCATTGAAAATGTCAGCTTTGGCTTGTTTATACAAAGCCTACCTGTTTGCTGAAATGGGTGCAAGAGGGAAGTTCATAGCGTGGCTCGAACACGTTCAGGAGGTGCTGAAGCCACCTACACTCAACCACCAAGAATGGGCGCATTTCTGCAGCTATAAACTAAAGACTGTAAAAAAGATAAACAAAATAGCCTACCTATTGCTCTTGTAATTTATTTGGCCTGGTCAGAACCAACTGCCAAGGGCTGTTTGAATGCAGAGGGGAAATTGTGTTGTGTTGTAGTTTCTTTGTGTTTCTGTCTTGCTCCGCTATACTGGGGTGAAGTCAGCATATTGTAACGAGCCTGTAAGGCCACCGAAACTCGCACGTAGTTTGTTGAGTAGTGTAAACAGTCTAGGACACTGATTTCCCATAAAATAATCACGTTTTTATTTTATTTATTTATTTGGATTCAGAATGCATTGACCGTGTTCAACACAAAAACCCTCTTGCCAAACAGGCCTCCTTATAGTTCTTTGGGGTCTACCCCCCTGACCCATGTGATCTTCTGCTGCAATTGACTCAGGTGCTTGACCCGTCTCAAAGGAGACACATTATCTTGCAGGTGCGTCCGTTTGCGTGGTATGTCTCTGTGTCTTCAACTGAGCTTTCAGTCCTGACAGTGTCCAGTTCCCGTTCTGCTGACACATTAACATCCCTTGGAGCCCACAGTCTCACAATCTCCCCCACTCTTCTCCTGAAGGGTAACCTAGGCAACATTGGTTGCATATTCCTCTGAGCACCCTGTTTCATTGAGGGGTAGTATGTCTGACTAGGCACAAATGAGTCAGTGCTCAACTCAGTCTCTTGTCCGTGCCAGTGACCTCATGCTCTGAAACAACCCCAAAGTAAGGTTTGAGCCTGTTGTAGTGTACCACGGCATGATAAGGTCCATTACACTGTACTACTTCATACAGCACTTCTGACAGTTTCTTTGCAATTTTGAAAGGACCCTTGAATTTCTTTCTCAGTTTCCTCTGGTAGTCTCTAAGCCACACATATTCATTTTCCTCATACCTCTCGGGTGTCACCTTTAGATCAAAGTATGGCTTTTGTTTACCTGTGGCCTTTTAGGGTGATTTCTTTATTACAGTCGTTCCCTGTAACAGTTTCTTAAAATCGCTTTCACAACCTTTTGAACATACTGGATAACATTACTGTTGCCCTTCATTTCGTTCGTGTTCCCCATAACCATATCAACCAGTAAAGTCATTTCAGTAGTCCTGACAGCACCCTTGTAATGGTGTGAACCCCCATGGAAGAATTGGAAACACTACTCTCCCTGTATGCCCAATCATCACATGTGGGGGGTGATGCTCATCCCCAATTTTCTTTGGATTGGCAATCAACAAAAAGTGACCAGCCATGTTGAGCAGAGTTTGTTCATTTCCTCTCCACTAAACCATCTTGATTGATGGGTTGTACTGGAGTTGGTTCTTCGTTTTGTTAATTGGTCAAAGATTGCACAATCTCTCTAAAAAGGTATATGATTCAACAGTTTCGCCCCTGGTTTGCTATGGATAGAGCGAGGAACCCTAGCTTCAAACACCAAATTCCTCTACGCGTTTTCCTGGCCACTGTTACTGCTTCCTGATTGGGTTATGGCATATGCCTCTGACCACCTAGTAAATAATCTGACACTACCATAATGTATTTGTTACCTCGTCCCGTCTATGTAAACGGACCCATTAAGTCTACAGCTATCCTCTCAAAAGGGCGACCTGTGACAGAACTTGTCATGGGCGCTCTGGGGGCTGGACCCTGTCATTTGTATGCAGTGCTGGCCACACAGCCCTTACACCACTGCTTTATGGCTCTCTTGCCAGCCTGGTCAATAAAATCGCTCTGATTTTACTGTTGAGTTTTTTCAACTCCTAATGGCCTCCTGTTCTAATCATTGTGGATAAAGGTAAGTATCTCATGTATGAGCTCATCTGGTACAACCCCTCTCCAGATGGTGTCATCATTGAGCGTGGCAACATACTGTTAACGTTTTATCCACAACTCTCAGTCCATCGCTGTTGTATCTACTGGGAAGTCAAAATGTTTCAAACCTGGAGATTGAAACGATGATGGAGGACTCTCCAATTCTGGTTTATCAACCCCACCACTCACCGTTGTAGGGCCTACAGAACTAGTTCCCGGCTGTGCCTTACAAAAGGACAGTTTGAAATGAGCCAATAAGATTCGAATTTGATTACAATCTCGCTGTAGTTGCTTTAAACGGAATAGCCTGAAATGTTTTTTTCAGTTCAGATTTACACGCAACGTAGGCATAGCCTATATTATTATATTATTATTGTTATGTTTTGATTTGGGTTCATGGTGTGGACCGAACCGAGGTCCCCATACCAAACGGTTCAGTATAAATATGTGTACTAGTGACGCATGGGTTTGACTCATAACCCGCAGTCCTCACGGTTATATCCTTATATCCGTGGAG